GAAGTATGCAGTGGGGTACCTCAAGGTTCTGTCTTGGGCCCAGTGCTCTTCAACATCTTCACAAATGACTTAGATGAGGGGGTTGAAAGGGTCCTCATCAGATTTGCAGATGACACAAAGCTTGCAGGGGGTGGGGATTGCTAACACTTCAGAAGATAGATTCAAGATTCAGAAGGATCTTGACAGACTTAAGCACTGGGCCTGATCCAACAAGATACAGTTCAGTGGAGAGAAAAGTAAGGTCCCGCACTTAGGCTGGAAAAACCAGATGCGCAGGTACAGGATAGGCAATACCTGACTCAGCAGTAGTGGCTATGAGAGGGATCTAGGTGTCCTGGTGGACTACTGCTTAAGGATGAATCAGCAGTGTGCTGCAGCTGCCAAAAAAGCCAATGCAATCCTGGGCTGCATCAACAGATGGATAATATCAAGATTAAGGGAAGTGATAGTACCACACTACACCGCACTGGTGAGGCCACATTTGGAATACTGCATTCACTTCTGGTCACCACAATACAGTAAAGATGCTGAGGCCCTAGAAAGAGTGTTCCTCTTCTCTTTGCTGAAGATGATAAGGGGTCTGGAGGCTAAATCCTATGAAGAATGGCTAAAGGAACTAGGTATGTTTAGCTTAATGAAGAGAAGACTGAGGGGAGTCATGATAGCAGTCTTCTAGTACTTGAAGGGCTGTCACAGGGAAGAGGGTGTCGATTTATTCTCCATAGCACCTGAGGGTAGGATGAAAAGCAATGGGTGGAAGCTTGTCAGAGGGAGATCCAACCTGGAAATAAGGAGGAATTTCCTGACAGTGAGAACTATTAAGAAGTGGAATAGCTTGCCTCCCAGAGTTGTGGGTGCTCCATCGGTGGAGGTTTTCAAGAAAAGTCTGAACAACCATTTGTCCAAAATGGTGTGAGGATTCCTGCCTTGGGCAGGGGGATGGTCTAGAAGACCTCCAAGGTCCCTTCCAACCCTATGTTTCTATGATTCTATGAACAGTTGGTTCTCTTGGCTGTTCAAGGAATGTGAAGCAAATGTCTCCAGCATCATAGCTCAAAGGAGTTAATTTTCTTCCTTTCACTCTTGCACAAAGTCCATCTCTTCTGTCTATACGTATATCATTATAGGGAATACACTGAGTTGACCCTTCTATGCTGGTCCTTGACCGTAATAAAGATTTGATTTGATTATGCTATTGGCATGAGGTTGGAATGTTCTTGTGATTTCTCTGATTCTGTTACACTCATAGAAAGAAGCTCAACAAGAAAGAATACTGGTAGACTTATGTCCAGAAATAGCCAGGCTGTCAAGGTTGGAAGGCATGGAGGAAGGATGTGTGGCGAAGCATGAAGAAACTGACATAACATATCCCGCTTTCTTCCAAGCCTGTCCTCCACCTCAGCAACTAGTCAGCCAAGCCAAGCTATCTTTGGAAACACGTATACTGGTCTTCTGTCACTTGGGCTAGAAGGGGAAGCTGGCAGAACCCTTGTAAACTTCACTCCAGCTCCCAAATGTCCTAAACTGGTAAGCCGCCAGCAAGAGGTTGTGACTGGTAGCACCAGGTATATCCCATGAAGGATGCAAAATGATGTCGGAGTAGAAAAAATGACATCACATACTGAAATAATAAAACAATAGCAAGCACAGCCATGTGCTCTAAAAAAAAGTTAGAGGGGCATCTTTGTGCTATGGTTAATGAGACAGGACAATAAGCCCTATATCTCCACATTTGCTAATTTCCACAGTGTCAGATTTAGGTACAAGTTAAGTGGGCCATGGTTTTGAGCTTCATGTTATGAATACATAGGGGATAACTAACATTTATTACAGTTGAAACTGTGGGTTTAAATAACCTTTCTGATCAAACCAACTGCCAAAAATCTGAATTCCAACATCCCCCCTTTCCTCCAAGAACTGAAGGTTGCTTCAAAGGGAACCTCCCTTCATCTTATCCTGGAACAGCAACCCTTTGAGATAGGTTGGGCTGAGAAAGTGTAACTGGCTCTAAGTCATCCACTTCCTTTCCAGGGCTAAGGATAGATTTAAACTTGGTTCTCCCTGCTCCTAGTCCAATACCTTCATCACTACACCCCAATTAGAGCATCAGCATGCTTTAATTCAACCCTGAATTTCCATTAGAGCTTAGAGGAGAAGAGCATAGACATTGAGCTCTTAAGGAAGGACATAGAGCGAGGAATGGGCAGTTTTTATATGTTTGTATATTGCTTTTTAACTTGTTTTTATTGGATTGTTTTTACCTGTTGTCAGCTGCCCAGAGTCACTTAGATGAGATGGGCAGCCATACAAATCAAATCAAATCAAATCAAATCAAAAATAATCCTGCAGCAGTTTCCCCCATTTCCTGCAGTACCCTTTGGAATCTGTGTTATTTCTAATTATACTAATATCCCTCCTTTCCTCTAAAAGTAGCATACATGGAGGTCTTCCCTCATTTTATTCTCACACAGTGCCCTGTAAGGGACAAGGACAAGGTGAGATAATAAGTAGATCCCAGGATCAGATGGGAATTAAAATTTAGATATCCTCAATCTCAATCCAAGATTTTAATCACAATTACTACACATTGGCTGTCAATAACTGAACCCTTACACAATGTGTTAATATAAAATCAGATTCATGATCATCACAGAGCAAGGCATGTCTTCTTGATGTTGCTATATTAAACTGTCACATTGGGGTGGGGGGGACCCAACACTGCAAGTCTTACAACAGCCATAAAGCCTGCACACTTTCCCTTTCTATAAACTGGCAGCAGTTTTGAGATACAAACACTAAGGAGGGTCTCAGCTTCAGCAGTGGCTTTATAACAAGATTATGTCTCACTGACATCTTGAAACTGTGTGTTAGTGCAGGTATGCACCCCCTGATATTACTTGATCCATGCATGGAACATTTTGCCCATGTTTAAAAGAGGGAGAAAAAAATATGCTATCTAATAATGGGTTATCCAATCAGTCTACTCATCATCTCTATACCACTTCTCTGTAGGGTCAGGAAGGTTAGGACTGAAACGTTTCTACAAAACTAAAATTACACATCTTCTGACCTTGGGATTCACTGTGAGGTTTATTGAGCTGGATATATGATAGTGAGAGCCAAAGTACAGTGGTTTATTTGTCTGAGGGTGTTTCCGTACAAGTATTGAATTGTATTTCTCCTCTTCTTCTTTGATGGCCTATGCAAAGGGAAAAATCTATAGTTTAGAATCCGTAGTTTTTTTCTCGCTCTACAAAACAAAAGTGACTAAGTTAAAACACTATTCCCTTCCCTGAATTGTCAGAAAACAATGCTGGTATAAAATATGCTGCCCCCACTGCTAATCCTAATCTTGCCTTAGTTGCATTTGCTGAGTAGTGATGATCTGCTGATTTGTGAGTGTGCCAGCTGTTATATGGAAGATGATTTCCTTCTTTTTTGGCTTTGGTGCCACACCCTTTCAGCACGTCACCAGCCACCAAGGAAAACATTCACCCATCAGGGCCTAGTAGCAGGAACGGGAGGCTGTAGCTTCAGGATTCTGCTTGGTCTTCCAGTAAGATGGTTTGTGTGCTCTTCTTCCATGTCCCATTTGAACATCTCTCAAGTTAAAATTATGAGTAATAAGAAGTTCATGGGAAGACCCCAAAGGAGGAATAACCCCTCAGAAGAAGAAAACAGAGTCTGCCATGATTCTGCAGCTGGTTAGGTTCTGCAGGGTGGAGGAACTAAAATGAACTGCTAGACAACCACTTCTCTTACTTGAGGTGTGGGGACAGAATGATTGAAACTAACAAATCAACAACAACAAAACCAGTTCAACACCCCTCATTTTCTGGATACATACTGCAAAGAGGAAAAGAGAGGCTGCTGCATCTGAACACATAGATCCCCACTGCTGTCATTTCAGAATGCTGTAGTACAGAATTGCACAAATATATTTCCTTCCCCAAATAAAATAATAGAGGCCTGGTTAATTCAGACCTTTTTTTTTCTTTTTTCTTTAAGGAGGAATCTCTTTTCTTCCTTAGCTGAAATAGTGAAATCTCGTCTCTTCTCTTCCCTTGTTGGAAATCCGGAGAGACGGTAGCTTAAAAAATAGCAAAGGTGACAGGTAGGATAAGAACTCAGGGAACATAATGCCAATTGGTAGGTAAATGCTGAGAGAGAAATGTCTGTAGCAGAAACTGGTTAGTGTTGTCCCCACTCCCAACAAATCTGGTCATATCATTTGAACTCACATCTAAATTAATAGATAACTAAGGATATTAAGAGTTTTAAATCTTGAAGTTGTGGGATAATGTTGGTTGAAGGGGAAAAATTCTGCTTTTATTCTGGTGCATTTAATAATGACTTAAGGCTGTTTCACTCATGATGTGGGAGAAGATGAGGATGACGTGGAACAAAGAGGAAGATTGGGCTTGACAGGGCATGCTGCTGCCATGGTAAATGGCAAGTGGGAATGGGGCCCTTGCCCATAAAATTTTGGGCCTGAATGAAAAGGGGAAGGAAATTTGTTTTAGTGGATTTTAGCTTTATTTATTCCAGGGCTGGATAATTATGTTCTCAGATTCCTGAACAGGACCTCTTTTATTCAGCTGGCAAACTTTGGATGAAGGGATTTGATCTCAACCATGCATGGGAATAAATAAGGAGGACTACGAAAAGGAGACAGAAAAGGCTCCTTTTAAATTCAGTAACATAGCTGGACTGGAGCCTGTTTTAGTATTACACCCCTGTGCTGAAATCCACACTTACGGTTAAGTGAGCAGCCAGCCCCGGTCCTTTCCTATTCCCCTAGAAATATAGGAGATGTCTCCATGAGTGGAACTGTCTGCAGCAAGAAGCCTAGCGCTGTGTGACTGATAGTGGAAGGTCCACTTCACGCGTACACGAGCTGGTGTCAGTGGAGGCTCTCTGTGGCAAGCAATCAGGCTATAAGCATGGAGACTCTTCAGGGATGTCACTGAACACAGCTGTGTTGTCACAGAAGGTGTGGCTGCTCAGTGCTCCTCAAATGATGCTTTTACATACAAAGGTAGTGCATGAATGAGGCTTCACATAGTGCTTTATCAGAAGGGTTACTCTGCAAGTAACATCTTGCGGATCTTCTTCAGAAGAGCCAGAAAGTATATTACAGTAAATTGCTGTAGCAAAAATTAATTCCTTCCTCAAAGTAACTCAGTTTTATGTCCCTCTTGAAAGCCTGTTGGTTTCTTCTTTCTCTCTGAAAGCTGTTACCATTTGGAAGGAGAATGTTCATTGCCCCGGATGCAATTTTTTTTTATTTTATTTTTTTAATTTTCTGCATTTATATCCCATTTTTCTCTGGGAGCTTAAGGTATTATACCAGGGATATCTCCTCTTTTTTTCTTCACAACCATCCTTCGAGTTAAGTTGTTTTTTGTGCTTAGCCAGGTGCCACATGAATTGACAAGTAGCTAATGGTGGCAGGGATAAATAGCGACATCAGGCAACAGGCTTGCAAATAAGCAGCTTTTGCAGCAACTGTATGTACTTTATTCCCCTGGATCCCAAACATGGCACTAGAAGCTCTAATGCCTAGTCACACCTTTCTTGCTACCCACCATATTTCCTGTACCACTAGATGTTTTTATTCCTTCAGTTAGTAAATGAGACATGTGCATGTTGCAAAGTACCAGCCTTCAGCATGATCTGTACTTTCAATAACACCTCTGAACCCCACCTAGATCCCTGAAGCATCATTAGAAAATAAGGGTGGCTGGCTGCCACCCAGAGTTTTGTTTGAAAAACCTGGTGGGGTAGAGCAACAGCCAACTGGTCTTCTTGTAAATGGGTGTGATTAATGGTGCCACTCACTGCCATGGCAGATGTGTAATAGCACTACAACATACTTGTAAATTCCAAATGTCCACCAACTCAGAAAGATGGGGACTCTGCTTTATATTCTTCATCTTTAGTTTAGTAACTATATTTTTAAAATGAATTTGATGTGTGAACATGACATCGTTATGTTTGGAAACTGTACTAGATGGGTCCATTTAAAAGAGAACAAAACGTTTTCTCTCTCACAAATGTTTTCACGAACATTATAACGAAGTTTGTAAATCAGCCCTGAGTCACTTCTGAGTTGCTATACTGAATCATAATTCATTTCAGTTCCCAAAACTGATTTTCAGAAGAGTTGCAGCACTGATGAACAAAGTGTTTGGGGGACCTTGATCTTTCCGAATGCCCCAAATCTTACCCACCCTCAGGAGTTTTGTGAGTCAGGAAGAAACTTATATGAACTCTCCAAAGGGATCTATATGCGAATGCCGGCATATAGTAAAACCCTCAAGTCCTCATTTCTATTCCTATTGTCTTCCCTCTGTTCCTCGGCAATGAATTACCCTTCCTAGTCTTTCCTCATCAACTCTTGTAAATTCTCACTTACCTGTATCAAAGACCCATCATTGGGAATGAGATAGAGATGGAGAGTTGTCGTCTTCTTGCATATCTTATAAAGCTGCACCACAGAATGGACGGGGAAAAACTTATTGTAGATAGGGTTAATCAGCACACCCAGCAAAGAGAAACTGGGATTCTTCAACACTGCATGAAATGGACTGATATGAGATGGCTTCTCCAGCATTATTCCCGCATCAACAATATGGCCTATTTTCATCCGAGAGGTATCAGCACTGCCACCTAAAATTTATAGAATAATCACTTACTACTACTTAAAAAAGCAAGTCATTATCAGAAGTACTGTATATACCCACAAAGCAAGATTACATTGTGTCTATTCTGATATTTAAGAAAGAAATGGTGAAGAAGTGAGATTAGGATGAACTACGGGCAGACTGTTTTCTTCTGCAAGCAAGGTCATGGTATGACAGGTTCAATGAAAACTGGAGACAACAGAAGATGCAAATTGCTCACTCTCTTTCTTAATTAACTACCTCAGTCCTTCACTATTTTCTGATTTCCTAACTTAGTTTATTATTTTTAACTCCAAAAGACAGATTCTTAAGTTAGGGAACTGTTCTGTCATGATGCATAAAAGGATATTTGGTGGTATCAAGTCACTGACTAAAGGAAATTACAGCATAGATGGACCTGCCTTAGTACCCCAGAGAAGAGTGGGAAGCTGGTAGCTTTCTGGCCGCCTCTAGCTAATCTGTTCAGATCCCACAGGAAGATAAATCAGGTGCAAGGGAATGCAGAGCAGAGGAAGCGGTGGTTCAAGCTGCTATTACTCTCAGACCTTGTCATTATTCCTCCTGAATTGCTCCGGATGGGTTCTAAGCTGTTTCCTATTCAAATAATTTACAAAGAAAGACATTCAGGCATAAGAAAGTTTCATTCTGTTCAAATCATTCTCTAGACATAGGAGATGGATGAAGAAGTGACCGAAGAAAGTAGCAAAGAGAGAAACGCATAAAGGAAATGAATGGCTGGAATTTGTTTAGAACAAAAAGCTACAAAGAAGAACTATTTGACTGAAAGAAAGACTGGATAGAAAACAATCAGAGAAGAGAAATGCGTATGACCATCAACTACAGAACCAAGGAACTAATCCATTCAAAAGAAAGGATTGAAGGAAAGTGTCTACTTCTCCACCAGTTCAAAGTAGCCTTACCTTGAAGGCATATAAAATGAGGGAGGTGAACAGCTGCAACTTCAGCTGGATCGGCATGGATGTCGAACACTGGACCGGCCACTATCCAGTCCGGCTCCACAAATTCAGAAAGGTGTTGGCTCCAGGAGCTGTAAGTGTATTCAACGGTCACAGCTGCTCTCACCTCAAATTTGAGATCAGTGACAGAGCACAGAAAAGTGCCTGCCTCAGGGATGTGGATTCTTTGTATGACAAAGACAAAGGAGGGAAAATGCAATCAGTTTCTAGGTGAAATATGCATTCACAGACAGAATTGATGATGTGTGTGTGTGTGTGTGTTTTAAAGATGCTTTCTCAAAACCGCAGCAACACAGTTTTCCCAGACAAAGTCTGGAGCTCAACATCTGAGCAGTGGAAGACTGCAGAGCTCCTTTAAGGCATTAACAAGAATCTCAAAATCTAAAGAGAAATTAATAGGGAATTTCAGGCAGAAACTTTCCATATTAATTAAGGAAGCAAAATAAACATTACTTCTATATGCTAGAGATCTCCTATAGATTCCATTATGGTTTCCACTTTCATAGATCAGAAAATGAACATTTTGCCAAACCCCTACTTCCTGTGCTATAATATTTTGTTCCAGAGGAACCCCAAACCTGCAGACCAATGGTTTTACAGGGAATGGGAGGCTTAAATACATAAGATCAAAGCAAATTGTGTGTTCTAACATGTGAGTAGAACACTTCTACTAAGGCAAAGGTTTATAAGTGTTTTGGGGGCTGAAAAACACTTGAATGACAGAACAGAAGCAATAGTCTAAAAGGTGGCTAGGACTAAGAGAAGTGGCAGAGCCAGGGCAGAGGCTAACTCTAGTTTATTTTTTAAACAAAGATAATTAAATAGAAGTAATATGATAACTGTTCATTTTTTAATTTTCCTCTTATGTCACATTAAATGTCACAGTTCGTTAGCAGCTGTTGTGAGGGCTGCACCCAAGGCTGGGATGGGGGGTGGAGGGCGCTACATATAATTTGAGGGCTGTTGTTTATATTCCTCAGTGATAAGGCAAAAACATATCAGGATGCAACTGACAGGATTTATGGGACATAACTAATTAGGACATGATCATAATGATAATCATACATAACTGTTACAAATTAATCTTTCACTGCATTCCTTAGTTCATTCGCTAAAACTAAATTAAGAGGAATTTGGGACAAATAAAAGAAAATGCTTTAAACAACACATTGTTAAATTGTAAAATTTACTGCCATCAAATGGGGTGACAGCTGCCAATGGGGAATGGACATATTCATGGAGAATCAGGCTATCAGTAGCTAATGACGTCAATGGTTGTTGCTACCTTCAGAAACGTAGGCAGCATGACTTGAATTCCAGCTGCTATGAAGCAATCAGGGAAGAAGAATATCGCCTCTCGCTATTTGTGAGAAAAAGCATCTGGTTAGCCACTTTGTGACACTGAATGCTGGGCTAAGTAGGTCATTGGCTGAATCCAGCAGGGCGCTTCTATTCTTATGCTTAATTTCATTGTAAAACATACTGTTAATCATTCTCAAGCAATATGCTGCATACAGGGATTTTAAAAATGACATCATAAAAGATGGCTGCTGAAACAGAGTTACATTTTCAAGCTGACAAATATTGCTCGTATACCAAGAACAATAATATGGATATTATCTAAAACAAAAGTAATTGGGAGAAGGTGGGATGGGAATCCAGGCTCGCTGTAATATGGTTCAGAGGTCAAGAGAAAGGGAAAGTTGATCTGTAATGATTATTCCAAATCCTTACCTGTATGTCTTCAGAGTCCTGTTAGCATCTAGAACAAGAGTTGGTTGTATTTCTGAACAATCCTAGAAAACAATATTGTGTTAAAAATGGGTCCATCACAGCATGGTAAACAGTGAGGAGGATAAAAGTGAGTGGTAAAATAAGAAAGATCTGTGGAAGGAAGAGTGGGAATGAAGACATATCATTTGGATGTTCTGGACCATAGCTCTAAAAGCTGAAGACTATCACCCTAAAAAACTGGCTCTTAATTTGTTGGCTTTACAAAGAAAAAAAAGAAAGGGATCTGGGTATAGTTGCTTCCTAGTTTATAAATTCTTCTCAGGATAGGAATGGATGCTTCTTCTCTGAGATGTAAACATCAATCACCCCAGTATTTTGAAATGAAAACCTATTTCCCCAGCCCATTGTTAGTTTAGCCTCCTTTCTGAGATAAAATCCTATGTGGCATGGAACACATTTAGACCCTTTCTCTTGAGGTTCACATTTAACAAAGCTCTTCCATTTCACTTTTTGAGAGATTTCACTGGAAGGGTCAGAAGAGCTATGCAGCATTCTTAATCCAGGTGGCCATGGTGGGATTAATAATTCTTTGGTCACCACCACATCAGGATAATACTATACTGTATATTGTCAAGCATTTGTCAATTCCTTTGCTTTCTTGCTCCAGGCTCTACTTCCTGTATGTGGAAGTGAAGGTTCGTACCTTTTCTCTTACACACAAGCATTTCTCCTTTGCAAAAGGGTAAGGGGTCAGGCCCTGTATGCTGCTTCTCTTTCTTTCTGCACAAAGAAAAGTAAACTAGAATTATCTTTTCCTACTTGATAAATCATTTCCTATCCCCAAGAAAACCGGAAGTTCACATTTAGACCCCATCTCCTGCCTCCCAGCTATTTTTTCACAGCCCAGGGGTAAAACTCTAAAAGCATACAACGTGAGTACAAACCAGGGGAAGGATGCTGAAACAATAAAGCACATGGGAACGTGGTGCAAATCCAGTAGGGCAGCTGGCAGAGTTCGGTATGGATACAAGTAAACATTGTAAAAGAGTAGAGAAGTGATTATGTCTACTGGTTCTGATGGCAGATCTTAGAGCTATTCTAGCGCAGACTTTGCTCCTCTCTGTGGAGTGGATAACATTTTGCATGACACCTAAACATGTTGGCATTTCTGTTCCTAACAGATTTTGCCCTAAGTTTCTAAGGAAAGTAGATGTACCTCAAGTTACTTTTTCTGCGCTTCTTGTGCAAGTGAACAAACAATTCACACATAGCAGAGAGTGGAAATTCAATAGCATTACTGTACCCATAAGTTCTTTGATCAGGTCCCTATTTGTTTCCTTCAAAGCTTCATAGAGATGGTCCTTCCAGTCTCCGTTCCAGCCAGGCACCATCTTGTAAAGGGTCTCCATTTGTTCCTTGTCTGTCTCTTTCCGAATAATATTATCAAGTTGGTGAGTGCAGATTGTAAAGTGAAGCAGTGAAGTTGCAACATCTTTTGCCCCAATGACTCTTTGGATCAACTCTTCCTTGTATCTCTCAACAAAATGGCCCTCTAAGAAAAGAGAAATGTGAGGAATGTGTTCACAGAATAATAATGTTCTATCAAAACCAGAGACTTTGAGATGAAGGTTCAGCTCTGGTAACGGAGCAAAAGAAGCCCCCTCAGATGACCAAATTATGACCTACAGTAGCTGGGGGCTTGCATTCGTCAGAATGTTGATATATGTCCGTAACAACCTCTTCAGAAATATCACGGTTTTGTTTTGAAGGGGCAATCTGCTGCACCCATTCAACTGGGTTCTTGACTCCTCCCACCTCCCAGTTCCTAGCGCTGTGCTGCAATTCCATAAAAGTAATTAAAATGTTCAGTTGTGACTGCATAGGGTTAGGAATTTGGAAGGCAATGGAGATTTGTCACTGTGGTGAGGACAGAAAGAATAGAACAATTTATTCTTTTTTTATTTTTCTGCAATGGTGGAAAGAATATGCATTGGTCATGTACCTATGGCAGAGGGACAAGGTACTTGTTACTGGCTGACAAGTGAGCACTGATTGGCTAACAGTTTTTGGCAAGCTCTTGACTTCAAACTTATAAATAAGTAGCCAAATCACAATCTTAATCTCTGATGAGTTTTAAGCTGGATTGAAGAGTTGGGAGATGGAAAGGCTGCTTGTATGGGACAACCTATGATTTTATGTAGAACACAGCAAGCATAATTATGGGAAAACATTTCAAGGCTAGTATTTCAGACACTTATACCACTTCCCCACCTTACCCTGCAGAACTCTTTTTACATTTTTTCCCCTTCTTTCCTTCTTTCTGCTTTTCAGGTGAACAACATTGGCGAGACATTTAAAATTGACTTCTTTTATTGCTTTGCAACAGGGACAACACTTTCTTTTTTGGCAGGGTTTTGTTTGAAACAAAAAAGCAGACATGGGGAAAAAAGGGTAGAAAAAAAGATAGATGATAAGATAGTGGAAATAGGGAAGAGAGCAGGGGGGAAAAGTGAAAGTGGTACATACATCGGAGAGAAGGGAATGGTAGCCCCAACATTTAATAAAAAGCAACATTTAGTTTCACTGAGAATATTTAATCTAAATAACACCTGTCCACTATATCTATTGCTTACAGGAATTGCAGAGCACAACTCTTATTTTTTCACAAAATAATAAGGAAATGCTATTTTCAGGATGCTCCCTGCCATGACATAGGTGCACCATATAAAACAATTAATAAGCTTCTTGCTTCAGAAATATTATTTTTACCTGTGTGTGCTATGTGCAGATTCAATTAGATTAATTGATCAGCTAAAATTCACATGATTAAACCACTGCAACCTTAAAATCCTTTGCACTCTTCTCAGAAATCCACACTTATCACGATACTTGTAGATTACTATAGTAATTCAGGGTTGAGAAGAGACACAGCCAAGGACATGGAACATAGGAAGGCAATATATTTGGAGCCAGTGGGTGTATTTGAAATTGAGGCAACACCTTGTGGAAGTTTTCACAGTGCAGCTGTCAGGGGAGCTGAGATTTATCTGTTCACAGAATTGCTACCTTGATGGGAATGGTTACTCAAAACACTTGGCGGAACGGAAACAAGTTAGGTGGGCTCTACTACTCCAGGGGGGGTTTCTATGTTATATTTGAACTTATGCATTTAGTGAGCAGATTGGCAGAACTCCAAGCAAAGCACTGGATCGCAGCCACCCACTCCTTCATTTTCTGCCCAGAGGGCCTACTTGCTGCACAGAGATCAACTAGAAAATAAAGATGATGCTGGAGGTTGGAGCTTTGCTTTGGAGCTGCCAGTTACAAGCTTCCTATTTATGCTTTAATTAAAAGAATCTAAAAGCAGTTGGGGCAGGAATAAGGAGATGTTAATCCGAATAGCTCTTAGGATTGTATGCTTGGATAGAAGTAGCACAAAAAGCAAGCAGCGTTACTCAGCTTTTATTACAAATAATTCATAATCCTAACTGAATGGAAAGGAGTTCTTTCAAGATCAGCTCTTCTCCATCACATGCATTCTAAAGTTGATCAACTCTGACTTCTTTTCAAATTAGGCAGATTAAAGCCGGGTACAAGCAGGCAGGAAGATCAGGCCTAGTTCCTTTGAATTAGACAGAAGTTTGTTCTGAGGTCGAAGCTCTGTTTTGATCTTTTTTGTTAATGCCAGCAACTTACCATGAAGTTCTGCAACAAGGGGCCCATTTGTTTCCTTCAGCACTATGTAGAGATGGTCCTTTTGCTTCCTGTTCCATTTCAATACCAACGTGTATAACTCTCTCATTTTACATCTATCTGATAAATCCTTGAACACAGGGGACTCTTGATACTGGAGGCGGCATAGCACTTCATCAATCCCAGAGACTTGGTCAATCAGCTCCTCCTGGTGCTTTTCAATAAAATGCTCCTCTGCCAAGAAACAATTAGAACTTCAGGAACTGTGTTCTTAAGTGTTAGAATAATATGGAATTCATACAATGATTACAGCATGCTTGTTAGAATCTGTTTCTTCCACCTTAAGAATACTCTTCTCACAACTATCCCTCCTAGTCAGAAGGAACTTAATTATATGGATACATATGTAGTCCTCCAGATGTTGCTGAACTACAAGTCCCAGCAGTTCCAGCCAGCATGGTCAAGAGTAAGGGGTGTGGGCTCCAACCCACTCAGATTTTCGTTAGGGCTGGCCAGGCACAGGGAGCATCATGAACACAGATTAGGTGAACAATGTTTCCAGAGAAATGCCTATAATTCTAATAAATTATTCAGTTAGTCACATCCCATGAGGAATTAATGCTCTAATGGAACATTAGAAAAATTATTAAGAGCAAAATATTGAGGTCTCATTGCTAAAACAATGTGATTACTTTACAATAAAACATTATGTATAAAATACAAAAAACTAAATTTGTCTTGACCACTATGGTAAAAAGACAAGGTAGATATTTGAACAAATAAAAATGAATAAATAGATTCCAATAATTAAAATAGGAAGAGAGTATATTATTCAGAAGATGTCCTTTTAATTTTTTCAGTAATTTTTTCAATAAGAGGATCTCTGAACATGTAGGGAGTTTCCCGAATTACCTTCAAGCATTTCAATAATGGGTCTATTGGTTTTTGCCAGTGCCCGGTACAGATAATCTTTCTGCCTCCCGTCCCACTGCTGAACTATCTGGAACAATCTTTTCATTTTCGTCTTCACTGTGGCACAATGAAGGAGAGACTTATATTGCTTCTCATTTCGTATGTAGCGATGAAGCTTATTCAAAGGGAACTCTGTCACTTGTTCAATCAGTTCTTCTTTATGTCTGTCCACAAAATGGCCCCCTGGAAAGAGATGTGGAAAGCGGGTTCTCAGGTTTATGTTGCATTTTTGTCTAAGTGTATATTTCATTTTATTATTTTTTAAGAACTGCACACAGAACTTTAGCAAGGCTTCCGGAGAATGTGATAAGAATACAATTTTTTCTCCAATTTTCTGGACTTTCAAAAAGAGCACTTGGCTGCAGCACGTGCACTTTTTATTTTCCAAGCAGGCCTAAGAGACACACTTGGAAATAAATGATGTTGCAGGCTGGTATTCTGCTTTCTGGCATACCACCTTCCCATGCTTTTCTTATTTTCTTTTTAATCAAGAAAATCTAAAACATTAGGACAACAGGGAGATAACAGGCTCAGAGGAATTGCTGTGGACATATTAATGCTCATAGTGGGTAGCTTCCCTGTGTATTAGTTAAGCTGAAGATTGTCGATAGATTTAACAGTCAGCCCACTGCTGGCTTTCAGGACTACCACTCTGCCCATTTCTTCCTGTCAGTTGATACTGACACTTGCAGTTGGGCATCCCGTATATTTTCCATGTATAGCTGGAACTGTGCAAGTGGTTGAAATATTCCCCACTAATTCCAACTTCACAGACACAGATGATAAATGAAGTGGGTGAATTGCTACTTTGGTAGATCTAGTGGCTGTTTTCCTTTCCAAATGACTGTTTGTGTGACAGTCTGCACATTCCCACAACATTCTCTTACCTTGAAGCTGAAAGAGAAGTCGCCTGTTGGTTTTCCTGAGGATGTCCAGCATTTCAGTCTTGCTTTCTGTGCTCCAGCTTGGCACCCATCTATACAATTCCCTCATCTTCCGTTGATTGGTGCCTCTGATTTCAGAAATTTGTTTTTCTGTTATTATGCCATTTATCTTCAGAGCATCCAATATAACATGCACTCCGAAAACACGTCGAGTAAGCTCCTCCCTGTGTTCCTGAAGAAAATGTTCTGAAAGGCAATGGCAGAGAGACAACTTCATCTTGCAAAGTCCAATAGGTATGTAGGGGGTTTATATGCTGCCAGATCCAATTAGACTCACAGCAACTGTGGAACATAAAGCATACATATCCACAATACAAGAATTGGTGTGTGCAGATGGGAGGCAATCCGTGGCCAGCTTGGTGAGAATAGCTGTTGGGAGGAGGCCCTGAATGCTAGTCTGTGGAAGGAAGGTAGATCTTGAGTTCCTTGTGCCACTGACAGCATGAGCTACAGTGTCCAGGGAACTCATTTCCCCTCTTCATTTCTTACATCATTCTTCTCCTACGATTTCATGTACATTTCTTCATACAATGTATGATTGTAGGGAGGTGATCCCTGTTTTGGGATGCAGTGGGCAGGGGGTTGGGGGTATGGGGGCCTTGAGGGGGAAATGATGTTCCAGAGGGCAGGAGTCACGGCAGAAAAGGCACACCATCTGAGTCCTGTCAGATGAAACTCTTTAGCAGACGGGACCATTTATTAGCTATGACCCCACAGAACACAAATGAAAAGCATCACAATTTATTAAGATATATGCTGACAGCAGCAAGAATCAGTGTGGCACAACACATTAAAAAAATTTTTTTGCCAACAATACAAGATTGGAAGACAAAAATCGGAGAATATGCAGCAATGGAAACATTGACTGTATATATTCATAACAGAAATCTAACTAAACTCAAGCAGAAATGTCTTCCTTATATACAACTTACCACATAGGAAAGCAAGTTAAGACACTTACAACATGGTTTTTGAAGCAAAATAGAAATTGCTTTAAAACCCATTTCAGCAGAAATAAGCAATAATCATAGAAATTTAGTATAAAAATATTTAAGTGGCAGCTAACAATCAGGAGAAAAAAGAACAGGGGGAGGGATTGTAATGTTTTCCCACCCTTTTTTCTTCTTAATTTTTAAAAAAGCATTATATTACATCTCATTTTTTGAATTTTCACTTCAACTTTCACCTTAGTGGAAAGCTTAGGCAAAGCAAAAATAATATTAACAACAACAACAAGATAAATCACAATACAGATCAGTTAGAATGCTATGTATGCATTTATATATATGTATAGTATTCGTTTATCTCCTTTTTTGGTTTTTTGTTTGTTTTGTTTGTTTTTTAACTGAATAAAATAAAAATGATACATTAAAAAAGAACAATAACATAACCCAACAGCAGGTGAAATTTTTAAGAACTCTCTTAAATGTTCCAAGTTGTTTTAAAACTTTGTTGTTCTCCTGGAAACAGGGGAATGCCCTTTGAAAACAAACATTTGGATAAGTACTATTAAATTTTGGTTTCAAATATAGGTTTTCAAAAACAAGGAAGGATTGCTATGTGAAATTCCAAATGATTCTTATGTAGATACATGGTTTAGACAAGTGACCCAAAGGACTGCTTAAATTGGTATTGATCCTGATTACAGGTAGTCCTCAAGTTATGACGGCAATTGGGACTGGAATTTCCATTGCTGATGGAGTTGTAAAGCGCAATGTCATGTGATGACATCACTTGGCAATGGCAATCCTTGCAGTCCCCGTTGCCGTCGTTAAGCAAGGATTGTGGATTGTTAAGCGAGCACCTCCTTGCAACTTCCTGCCGGCTTCCAACAACCAAAGTCAGTGGAGAAGCCAGCAGGAAGTTGCACATCCCAGGTGGCTCGCAAGCAGGCCCGTGGGCAGGTAAGTGGCTGCTGCCGGGTAGAATAGGGAGCGAGGGAGTGCACTGGTGGGGGAAGTGCAAGTGTGGTGGGGCTTGGGATAGCTGCTGCTGGGTCGGAGAGGGTGTGTGAGGCTGCGCAAGTGGTGGGGGAGGTGCGAATGCGAGGCTCGGGGAGGGTGTACAAGTGTGGCAGGGCTTGTAGCTGCTATTGGGTAGGAAAGGGTGCTCAAGTGGCAGGGGAGTCATGGCACGAGCACAGTGAGGGTCGGGGAGAGTGCCTGAGGATGCGCAGATGGCTGGTGAGGCATGGCATGAGCACAGAGGCTCTGGGGGAGGGTGTGTGGGTGGGGGAGACTTTCCCAAGCAACTTGCAACCTTCCCTGCCGGCTCCCACGCTTTGTGAGAAGTTGACAGGGAAGGTCACAAATTGCAATCACGTGACTGTTTGCCAAGCACCCAGATCATAATCAGGTGACTGAGGGGGTGCTGGCCTCTTTGTTAAACAAAGATTATGGAATAACTCAGTATAGAAATTAATGGCAAAAGTCAAAGTTCCATGTGATTTTTGGAATGAACTACAAGTATAATTTTCAGCTAGCTATATACCTTAGTAGTTTACATTTAAGTAATTGCCTATTCAAAAGCCAGATTAAATGTATTCCCATCAACTATGCTATATGGTAGATTTCAAAAGATTCCCATCTCTCAAAAATGTTATCCCTGTAATGGCATTGACCTTGAAATTGTGGATTATGTTTTTATTGCCTTGTTAGTTTTACAAGAGTTTTGAGCAGGATTTGTGCCTATATTAAAATCAAGGCCAGGAAGTAATGTTTCTGAATATGATAAAATTTTACAGATAAAAATCCTGAAATTACAGTGTCAACAACCAAATATTTATTTATTTATTTGATTTCTATAGTTGCCCATCTCAACAAGTGACTCTGGGTGGTGTGCCATCATAAAAACACAAACAATTAAAACAATAAAAACAATACAAAGTATGAGGGCGGAGCTGGCATCGCGGCGATACGGCGGGCGATCCTGGGCTCCCAGGATCTCAGTCGATATCTCCTCCCCTGGACGGTCCTGATGGACCTAAGCC